GATTCTCTGAATGTGGCTGACATGGGGGCTGACTGAGAAGCCATTGATAATGGCACTGGGTCTTGTTTCGTCTGCATGTACTGGCTGTTTGGGATCCTAGTCTGTTTGGATGCTCACCTTCCTAGACCTGGAGGGAGGTGGGGAGGAACTTGAACTTCCCACATGGCAGGAAACCCTGACTGCTCTTTGAACTGGAGAGGGAGCGGGAGGGGGAGGGGGGGGGGGAGGATATGGGGAGGAGGGGAGGAAGTGGAAATTTTTATAAACAAACAAACAAACAAATTAATTAATTTAAAAAATATATAAAATATAAATAAAAAATACAAACAAATTTTCCTTTTAAAGTATTTTTAGTTAAAAAAAAGCAGGGCCTTGGAAGTTTTGTTTTTTTTCCTCCCGTGTTGCAAATTCATGTTGTGGTTTTGGTGGGTTGATGAAGAGCACATGTCATCTGTGGGTGGCACTGCCCGCTGTGGGGGGCGGGGCCTGCTCCTCTACTCGAAGGTGACCACGTTTATATTCTGAGACGGGAAGTGTAGGGTGAATAGGTCCTGGCGGCCTTAGTTTAGCTTGTCCTTTGCTGTCCAGTCATCCTCGTCAGTCTTCTGCTTCTTGGTGTCAGCATCATCATTATCCTCATCTTCAGCTGCCCGCTTGCCCATAGGAGCCTCAGCTTCCTCATCTTCATCTCCATCCTCTTTCTCGCCGTCACCTTCTTCCTCCTCCTCCTCTTCCTCCCCACCTTCTTCCTTTTCTTCATCTACCTCATTGTCGGCCTCCTGCTCCCCATTTTCCTCATTAGCATTGCCATTGGCAGGTGCATCTCTTCCATTCTCTGCCTCCTCCACAACTTCCTTCTTCTCCTTCAAGTCCTTGGTGGTGATCTCGGAGCTGGTGTCCACGGCCGCGTCTGACATGGTGGGACATGCAGGTGACCCACTGCAGCGAGGGCAAGACGAATCAAGTTTGAGGACTCTGGCGAGAGAGCTGCCGGATTCCTTTGCAAAGGAGGAGAAGGAAGAGGGCAGCGAAGGCGGCTGCAGGGAGTGCTGAGCAGCACCGGGAACAATGCAAAGATGACTTTTCAGAGCAGCCAGTGGGGGCTTCATCTTTTTTTTCTAACCAAGAAATCCGATCCTGAGATTCCTAACATCCAAAGCAAAGAGAGAAAAGAGGGCTAGAATTAGTTGTAAGGGCTCTACAGACAGCGATACAAGTCAGACAAACTCTTAACCTGATCTTCCGAAGCTCACAATTAAGGTGGGTATAAGTAAGTAGCTTTATTATGTCACAGTGGGAAAACATAGACTCTAGATTTGTTTTAGAGGGTTGCCACATAAAGGAAGAGATGTCTAAGATAAAGTAACATTAGCTAAGGGGGGAAAGGTGAGAAATGAGTTCCAGATAAAGAAAATAAAGAAAAGCACATGTACAAGAACAGAGAGAGAGATAGAGAGAGAGAGAGAGAGAGAGAGAGAGAGATATCGTGGGCAGACTTGGTGGCTGTAGAAGATGCTGTGGTACCCAGACCACCCCAACACACACATTTGCCAGCACACCTAGCCCCTAGCTGCTCTGACTGTTGGCTATCCACAGCATACGCAACTCCTTCTCAGGAGATATACTCTTGGCTGTTTGGAGTTAGCTCGTCCGGTGACAAGTCATTGTCCCCATGGCAGCTCTCAACCCATGGCTCTCTGACCCCAGAAAATTTAAAGAGCATGGCCTCCCATAAGGAAGACAACTTGTTAGTGCAACTTGTGTTACTATGCCTTTGCCCTCATGAATCCAGGCGCCAATAGAGTCTACCTGACATCACATCTTTGCTGGGTCTCTGCTGCTTCCCTAGCTGGTTCCCCTTACGTGTGGTCCCCAGAGCCAGATATGGCAGCATAATCCCAGCACTCAGGAGGCAGCAGCAGGCAGATCTCTTGTGAGTTGGATGTTAGCCTGAAATACACAGTGAGATCATATTTCAAAAGTCAAAACAAGACAACAACTACTAAGTGGCACCTGGAATACTTGGGCGGTAGTTCTGACAAACTGTTCTGGTTGTTACAAGTAAAGCTGCTGTGAACATAGTATAGTTGAGCAAGTATCCTTGTGGCACGATCCTTTGGGTATGCCCAAGAGTGATATAGCTGGGTCTTGTGGTAGATTGATCCCAGTTTTCTGAGAAGCCGCCATGCTGACTTCCAATGTGGCTATACAAGTTTGCACTCCTACCAGTGATAGAGGAGTAAGGAATCTACAAGCATGATCCCAACCAAGAATTCTGGCAAGAGTGGATATGTAGTTTGAACTGGCCATCTCCAGTGATCACAGTGGTGCCTAGCCCAATTGCCATCAGAGAGGCTTCATCTGGCAACTGATGGAAACAGAGGCAGACCCAAAGCCAAACATTGAGAGGGAGTTTAGGGAATCTTGCAGAAGGAGAGAAAGGATTGTAGGAGCTTAGAGGGGTCAAGGACACCACAAGAAAACTCACAGAATCAACTAATGTGGGCTGATAAGGGCTCACAGAGATTGAACAGACTACCAGGGAGCCTGAATGGGACTGAGCTAGGCACTCTGTGTATATATGACAGTTGTGTAGCTTGGTCTCTTGGGGGACTCTTAACAGTGGGAACAGGGGCTGTCTCCAACTGTTTTGCTGACTTTTGAGACTCTATTTTTCATACTTGGTTGCCTTAATACACGGGGAGGTGCTTAGTCTTACTCCAACTTGATATGTCATGTATTGTTGATATCCATGGGAGGCCTGCCCTTTCCTAAACAGAAACAGAGCGGGAGTGGTTGGGGAGTAGGAAGAGAAAGGCATGGAGCGAGGGAACTGGGAGAACAGGAGGGAAGGGAAACTGGCCAGGATGTAAAATAAATAAATTTATTTTTTTAAAAAAAAATGATATCTGCAAAAAAAATGTTATAATGACAGTGTCACAGCGAGGCCTCCTGAACTGAAAACCTGATTTGAAGTCTTCATCGACTTAAGCTACTGCTATTTTCAAAATAAGTTCCTCTGACCTGTGTTTGGGTCCCTACACCCACTCCAGGCAGCTCACAACCACCTGTAGCTCCCTCCAGTTCAGCTCCAGGGATCCAGTGCCCTCCTTTGGCTTCCACAGGCACCTGCACACATCTGGTGGACTTATAAACTCCCACAAGCACACAAAACACATAAAGACAAAAATAAAAATAAATCCTTTCTAGAAAGATCCTCTGTGATACAGCCTGTTGAATTTCTGATGTTAGGATCACAGTTAAACATTGCCTTGGTTTACCCTCCTGATTCTACTATTAAAGACGCTGAGGCCCAGGAAATCACAGCAATAGGCTGGAATCTTTCTGAGTTTCGATTCCTTTGCAAAGCAGGATGAAGAATCTGTGTTCTCTCTGCTTTATCAAGGCACAAGCAGAATAAAGCCTAACTCGAACTAGAAGATTGTCTCTCATTCAGCTGAGTCCTACAAATGCCCACCGTGCCTCACATCAAGTGGAGAAAGTCTGGATTCCATCTCTTATGTGTCGTTTGGCATGAGTCAGTGACTATCCCCACCTTGAAGGTAATGACCAAGTATGTTTCTGAACCTCTAAGATCAGACACATGAACGGTCTCTGGAACATAGCCCTAAATAGCCTAATGCTTCCCCCCTTCCTATTACTCCCTATGAACTAAGGTAAATGACATCATATGTTCAGGCTGGGAGCCGGACCGAAAGGAGGAGTGAGTGGCAGGGAGTCTAGAAGAACCCACGGGGAGGCAAGAAAGTGGAACTCCTCCCCACCACGCAGCGAGTCTTTCCGTTTCTTGCTCCTAGGCAGTGAGTGTAAGCCATGAATTAAAGATAATTAGTGCCCTTCTAGAAAACGCAGCTGTAATTACAGACAGTTCCGTGTGTTTAGGGCATTTGAGAAGAATCAAGTGTTTTACAGTTCACAGAGGGTCCTTGCTGACTGGAGGGGAAACTTGGCACCCTTGATAACTCGATTGCCATTAGAGGAGTATGGGACAGAAGGAAGCCAGCGGCCACGAGGCAGTGGCGGATGGAGTGGACAGCCTTCAACACAACAGACTAGCCATTGACCTGTAGCCTGTGATGCTGAATGCTCTAGCTTCTGGGGTGAATCTGCTTTCTGCACTCCTTTGGTCTCACAAACAACTACTAAATGCCAGGCACGAGGTGCGGGGAAGAGAAACAATGAATCTGGCACACATGGCGCCCACTCTTGATCTGTCTGCAAATGCTATGCTGCTATAGACTGGATTCACATGTCGAAACCTAGCCCAGGGTGACATTTCCAAGTAGCTAGTCAGATGTCAGCAGGCTTGAAGGTCCCTGAAGGTGGGCCCCATCCTCATACTCTGCTGTTCTTATTTTGGGGCTTGGGTGGAGAAATAACTTCTAAACTGGCCAAAAGATCATAAGGCTGCTATCTAACCAGAGAGTACCAGTCTTTTCTTGTGAAGGACTAAGAAATTCCATTGTCTTCTCTAATAGAATCCAGATGGGCTAGCCAAACACCTGAGAGGAACCCCCACCCCAACTCATCCACTCAAAGAAACACCTATTCTAAAGTCTATTCTGGGACTTGAAGAAATAATATAAAAATTACCTAGACATTTTAGGTTGGCACAGTAGGTTCTGGCCACTGGCCACTGTCATCCCATGAAAGTGTTTTTCCCCACAATGGTCTCTCTGGTCATTGTCCATTCTCACCCCTTGGGAGTGCCTCAGTTGACTCTAATGTAGCCTGTCTTCTATAGTATACTCAGGGTGTCACATGTGAATGCTTTCCACAGAAATCCCAAGGATGTGGCATGGGGGCAGGCGTGGACCAGTTAGGCGTTGCTGCAGCTATAGGAGATGGAGTCTTTAGAAGATAATTCGATTGTGAAAATGGAACCTTTATGAATGGGTGGGGCTAGTACCCTTGTGAAAAGACACACAGGAACTCCACTCTTGGGCTCTACTCTCTGCCATCTGAGAACAGCATTAGAAGATCGTCACTTGAAAACCAGAAAGAGGGCCCTCACCAAATGTCAGCTCTCTCTCTCTCTCTCTCTCTCTCTCTCTCTCTCTCTCTCTCTGTGTGTGTGTGTGTGTGTGTGTGTGTGTGTGTGTGTGTGTGTGAATGCAGGTGCACACATGCCATGGCACATATATGGTGGTCAGAGTCAAATCTCAAGAGCTTTGAGGCAGGGTCTCTCTTGTTGCTTCTGCTACTATGTATGGCAGAGCAGCTGACCCATGAGCTTCCAGCCAATTTTCCTATCTCTGTCTCCCATAATTACAGAAGTTCTGGGATTACAGATGTGTACCACAACATCCAGTTTTTCCACATGTGATCTAGTAATTGAACTCGAATCGCCAGACTCGCATGGAAAGAGCCTTTACCCATAAAGCCATCTCCCTCACCCTCACCAAAGACTTACTAATTAATTATTTTTAGTTGTCATATAAAATAATGGGTTTCATTATGGTAGTACTGTACTTTGCTTGTACTTGCTTCTTCCCACCCCCAATCTTTCCCAGAGGTTTTGAGCTAAGATCTTGGAATGAATAGATCCTGAAAATGTGTGCGGTTACAGAGTAGGGGGTAAGGAGAGCAGTATCCTAGTACCAGTATCCCAGGGGTAAGGACCTGGCAACAAGCGAGTGTGGCTCAATTTCAGAATGGAGGGGAGTCCTGCAGGGTTTGAGTGAGGACGTGGCTAGAGATGAACTCTAAAAAGAGATACAAAGTTTGAAGTATTTGTATTTAATTTTAAGTGCAGCGAGAGACACTCAGAAGTAAAACTGGAACAGCAAAGCCTGGCCTTAAAGAGATCTCTAGTACCTTTGGGTTACATCCAGGGAAGAGAGCTACATGTCATTTCTTTGAATTGCTAATCTACTAGGTAACTGACAGAAAATGTTTACCTAAGCCTTTCACTCTTGGCTACATTGGCTACCTCCATCAGTTGATCCTCCATGGACATGAGATCAGACCTAGAGCCCTTAATTATACATTCACAGCCTCTATGTGCCTGCATGGGAGTGGGTATATGTTCATATGTGTGGCTACATGTGTGTATAGACTCATGAGCACATGCATGCATGTGCATGTCAAAATCAGAAGAAAAATCTTGATGTCATTCCTCAGGTGGCTGTCTATGTCTTTTGAAACAGGGCCACTTATTGGCCTGAAACTTTGCCAAAATCTAGTCTCAGCAGGGAGCTCTAGGTGTCCACGTGCCTTGCTGCCTTCTATCTTCCCATTACTGGGGTTACAAGTGTGCCCCGACATGCCTGGCTTTTTATATGGGTTCTGGAGATCTGACTCAGATCCTCTTATTTGCAAGGCAAGTGGTCTCCCCAGTCTTCCACATCCCTTCTCAATGGCTCCACCCACCTCACCCCCATGTTCAGCCCTCACTCAACATGCCTGAAAATTAGAATGTGTTCAGTAAGTATTTGTTAAGCAAAAGAGTTGAGGGATGTCTTTAGGTCTCTTTCTCTTTCTCCGTGGCTCACAGAGCTTTATTCGTGACCTGTCCCTGGATCCACTTGGAATCTCTAGTCACCACGAGGTTGAATGAGCAAATACATAATTACTGCCCTTCATAACTACCGTTGATTCATTATCATTGAGCTCATCCCAATAGCACTGTAACACACACCTGAAATCGCTTATCTAACAAACCTATTTGCCTGTTAGGTGCATCACAGCATTCGTGTGCTTAAGAACAGAAGGGGGCATATAGGGATAGAAAGATGGCTCAGTGGTGAGGATGGCTCTTGCAGAGGACCTAAGTTCTGTTCCCCGTACCCACATTGGGTAGCTCACAACCACCTGTAACTCCAGGTCCAGAAAATCCAGCATCCCCTTCTGTTCTCCATGGGCAGTGCATTCGTATGCACAGCCTCCCCTCCAAACATATGTATCTATACATAATTTTTAAAAGGACAACAAGAAGAAAAGACAGCACTGTAGAGCTATGTTTGGAGGCATATTTTAGCACAAATATGTGGAAGTCATGTCAATAGACAGACCATGACAGGGCATTCATTGAGTCGGAGAGTGAAGATCCGAAGATGAAGGGTTGCCTTCTTTGATCTCAGCTAAGAATGTATGTTGGGCAACTCAAAGCTTTCGCTGCTCTGAAAATGTCAGCAAGCATGCAGTAGTGGTGGCATATTAATTTAGGGCTTACAAATTTTCATGAATAGGCAGATCCACCCATACAGAATCTATGAATAATGGCCATCAACTGTATTTCTGTTGTAGCATTTATCACCCTGAATTGAAGTGGGTGACTTCTGCATCCCTCCTTCCACTAGAATCTAGTGACTACTCAGCGAACAGCTTGAAGAGTTAGCATAGACAGGAACAATGTCAATGTCATACTATATAACATGGAGATTTCGCTGTGTGGTTTTCCATATGCATTTCCACATGAAATGGCTGAGAGAATCCCATGTCATAATTTTTCCTAATGTGTAAGCAAGTGGGAGAATCAAGACTTCTCGGCGATGGCAATATTTGCCTATAGGAACATAGTTAGCATTGAAGCAAAAGCTAACTAAGAAACCCATATGCTTCATTTAGAAAAAATGTCTAGAAAAAGAATACACGGCCTTTCCATGACCAAGTTATTAGCCTCAGAGAGAGGCAATCAAGAAACCCAGAGAACTCTTTTGGGAGTTCCAGGCAGGAGGACAGCTGCTCACATGCCATTGACTGAAGAAGTATCTGTCTCTCAGAGAAGGCCATTTTCTCCCACTTAACATGCAACTTTGGGAAGGACACACATGTGTGGTGAGAGAGGATGTTGACACCCGCCTAACCTGCAAGATCAACCAAATCAGTCCTGGCAACCAATGGGGTGACAGATGTGCCAGAGAGACCCCCTCTATCCCTGTAGGTAAAGGAGACAGATGTGCCAGAGAAATTCCCTCCATCCCCATGGGTAAAGAGGAGTGTCTAGGAGGAAGTGACTCCTCTGTCTGGCCCTGGATCTCTGGCATCCCCTATTGGCTTAGGAAAATGACTGATCAAAAATGTTAGGTATTATTGAACTGTGCATTTAAGAGATGGAACCTAGCTGAAGTGAGTCACTGGAGACAGGCATTGAGGGTTACAGTCTAGCCTTACTTCATGTCACAATTTGGCTTTCTGGTTCACAGAAATATGAGTGGGCAACCTCAGGCTCCTGCTGCCACAGTCCCAACCCACTTCCGCCATCATGTCTTTCCCATCATAAAGTATCATCAAACTATGAGCCAAAATAGATCTTCTCTCCCTTAAGTTGCACTTTGGACAGATACTTGGTTGTAGCAACCAGAAAAGGAAGTAACTCAAGAGACGGTGGGATAGGCAGTGTTGGGGTATAGTAGGTACTCAACAGCAATCGCGTGACAAAGTAGTAAACTGGGAACCCAGAGGAGATATGACGTAAGATATAAAGATCACTAGATTAGCAGCCTGGTGTCTGGTTGTGTCAAAATAATGAGACTGTGTCTTAATCACACAGGAGTTCGAAGGTCATGAGTCCCATGAAAGGAGCCCCATGGGAAAGATACCTCAGTGATTGTCTCCATGTCCCAAGAGTGTGTCACTTCAACCATTGGGTGATCCACCACAATTTGGTAGATGTTGTGCCTAGTACTGAACCATGAGGAGATGACTGTGTGCTCAGGGGATGAAGAAGCATGAAGAGAAATATCCCTGGCTTCGGGCACATCCATTCCCCTTGTGGCCAGAGAACTCTTAACCTCTCCACACACTATTTGTGACCTAGACAGTCTAACTGTTAACAAAACTGCAGTCAGTTCTCAAGCCCAACTGCTTACCATTCCCATTTGAGTCCCTTTGCATGGCCACAAGCGACTAGGATGCCAGCTTAAGATGTCTGTGCCTGTCAGGAGACTGGAATGTCTCTAGTGAGAGCTGTTTCCATAATTCAGTGCAGGTTGCCAGACCTTTCTCAAAGCAGAAAGGACAGACTTTCCAGAGAGGGGCCTCTGCTACCTCTGCACACATTTTTATGCCCAGAGAGTGCTGGGCATTGGACTTGATCTCACACAAGATGACTAAAGAGTGGGCTCTGGTTTCCCCTACCGGCCTGCCTGTCTGGCCTTGCTATGACGATTTCATCTTGAGAGAGAGCAAAGTTTCTCCCTTACCTGCAGAATTTTTAAGGTCACTTAGCCTCTTCGAGGTCCACATCTCTACTCTCTCCCATTCTAGGGATACTGCAACCCCAGCAACGTGGCTACCATGCTCCTCTTGACTAAATTCTCCTTTGTTCCTGGTTTGTATTAGGTAGAGCTCGTCTGATTGCCCTAAGATCCTTTGTGCAGTAAATATGATTGGCAAAATGATAAAGTAGCTGAAATCTGTCTCCATTAACTCCACAGCAGCCCGAGTTCCACATTCTCTTTTGGATCATTACTACTCTGTGTTACATAGCATTCATTCTCTCTCTCTCTCTGTGTCTCTCTCTGTCTCTCTGTCTGTCTCTGTCTCTGTCTCTCCCTCTCTCTCTCTTCCTCCCTCCCTCTTTTTCCCTTCTTACTCAACTGCAATAAGTTCCTTTTACAATATGGGGTACTGTATCCTGGGACTTCCAATATCAGAAAAGAGCATGTGAATATCCAAACCAAGTTAAACCAGACCCTCTGTGGCCAAGTGAACCGTTGTTGCTTTCAATTGAAATGACAACAACAAACAGTGGCATTGCTCCCATCGCAAGGACAAAGCATTGTAGGAGACATCTGCATGTCCTCTTGTGTAGAATAAAGACGTCCTAAAGCTTCTCCCTGTGAGTCTCTCCTTTTCCCCACAACAGAAGACATTTCCCTCTTGGTTTTCTCTCTCCTCATAACTCTCCTTCCTCAGACACCCGAAGTCCTTTGACTTCTTGAGCGCCCGGCCACTCAACTGCTCCTCCCCATTTCTGCCTTTGTATTTTTTTTTATCTCTGTCACCCCAAGCTCTGTCATCCCTTTAACCCCTTGTCCTCTTAACCCCTCCCCTCCCTTCTCCTCTCCTAAGTTCCTTCTTTCATGCATCTTATCAAAGTAGAGCAAAAAGCCACCGCTACAGAGGCAATAGCTACAGACAAGGGCAGTGAGTGGTTTCGGGTTAGTTGGCTACTGAGCTGCTCTTCTCGTGTGTAGAGGTTGGAGTAGGTGAGGCCCCCATAGACTCATGTGTTTGAATGCTGGGCCCATGGGAACTGGCACTATTAGGGAGGTGCGGCCTTGTTGAAAGACGTGTGTCACTGTGAAGGTGGGCTTTGAGGTTTCATATATGTTCAAGCCACACCCAGTGCGGCAATCTCTCCTGCTGCCTGAGGATTAAGATGCAGAAGTCTCAGCTCCTTCTCCAGCATCATGTATGCCTGCGTGTTGCCATGTCCTGACATCATGATAAGGGACTAAATCTCTGAAACTGTAAGCCAACCCCAATTAAATGTTTTATTTTAAGAGTTGCCATGGCCATGGTGTCTGTTCACCGCAATAGAAGCCCTATGAAGACACTGCACATCTGTCAGGGAGAGGAACACAGATATGTTTTGCCCAAGTCAAAATCTTCAGCTTTTTAGAGCTGTGCTGCTTGAGACAGTTGAGTGGGGCGAGAGTTAGCTTTTATGAAAACATTCCCCTAACAGCAAGCTCACTGCCGAGGTTCCAAGCTGTTCTCCAAATCTGTTCAGATCACAGCTCAGGTGTCTGCCCGCATGCATCCTCTGTTCTAACCTGACTTCAGTATTAGCATCTTTGTATATGTGTCCACCGTTTCATTTTAGAGAGCCCTCTTCCAAATTCTCCCTTCTTTGCACTCCAACAAGCCAGTGTCTTCTCTTAATTCTTATTAGATTATAAACACACTCCGTTCTTTACAAGCAACACAGTATACTGAATTTTTAGAACATAACATTCTTTGTTTGAATAAATGATGTGATGAATGAATAAAGACTTTTTTAAAATAGAAAAGGATTATGGTATGTTTTTAAGGTTTGGTCAATTTTGATTTAAGGTTTAAAACAATTTTGATGAAATTTCCCAATGTCAATGAGTCAATATACTGAATAATTTTATTTATTTAATTTTGCCTTCTAGGGATTTATGTTTTCCTTGAATTCTGGGATACTCTCTAGTATGTTTTTTGTCATACATCCTCCCCCTGCCAATATCTGACTATTCTTTCCATTTTGAACATCAATTCTACTTGTGTTAGATTAGAGCCTCTTGCTTGAGCCTCTCCAACTTCAGTTCAGTCTTCCATACGTTTGCCTCATTGACTCAGGGTGATTTTTGTATATGTTCAAGATAAGTTATGCTGTAAAACAAATAATCCCAGAGAAAAAAAGGGAAAATTTTTGTTTTGTTTTGTTTTTGTATATGTGTGTTTTTTTTTCATTTTGTTTTGTTTTGGTTTGGTTTATGGTTTGTTTTTTGTTTTTTTGTTTACATCTTAGTTTGCTGCTGGTTTTGGAGCTCTGGGCAGAAGACTCCAGACCTCTTCCCTTCTTGCTGGTATTGCTATCAATATGTGGGGATCACAACCTTCAAGGAGGAAGATGGAAACCCAGGACTTGTCATGTCCAGGACTAAAATTTACTTCCACTCACAACCCAGTCCTATTTCCCTCCATCTCAGTGCAAAGAAATCTAGGAAACAGAACTTTCTGATATGCTCTAGTGGGGAAAGGGAAGGGATGGGTATAGCCAGATTGTATCGTATTTGCTTAATTCTCCTTTCCAATAAACTTATTCTCTTTTACCTAATGTAACCTACTAAGTCTTAACTCAATTCTTTATCTTTTTCAAATATATAAAATTTATTTGCCTGCTATTTATCTAAGAATGACATTTTCTCATTTGTCCCCAAGGATTCTAAACACATTTGTTTTAAGTCTATTAACAAGTTGCCTCATTATTTCTCTTTCCTTAGATGCAATGTGTCCTGTTTGTTGGGTGTGCCAACCAGCTCTTAAAAGTATAGATAGCATCATGTGCTTTGTAGTTTTTATTTGAAAACCAATCACGCATGGGAGTGTTTTTCTCACGCTGCTCCCCTCTGTTGGATGCTTTAAGAATTGCCTCTGACAGATCCTCTGAGATGCCAACTCTGAGCCATGCCTTTGTATCCGGAATTAGACAGCTCCACTGTAGTCCACTACGTTTGAATGGTATACTTTCGCACAGCCAAAGCCTAGTTCCCATTTCTACATCATATCATTGTTTCCCATTGTCCTAGAAAAATGATCATGAAATTTTGAGACAGCCCCAGCTCACTTATGGAGAGCTTGGACTTAACCCATCTTTTTACACAGGGCTCTGGCTTCTACTTCTCATTTGTTCTTAGGGAGCTTGGCCACTTTTCTTGCAGAATCACTGATGACTTGGCCTATACATCTGGCTGGACCCAATTCTTTTCTTGAACCGCATCCCTTCAGTTTCTGCTACCTCTTTAGAGGGCCTGACCTATCCATCCTTTCACCTTGAATTAAGTGTGCTGCCATCTTTGTCATCTGGCACACACCCCATCACCGCTATATGTGTCTTCTCAACTCGACTGTAAGAACGTTGAAGGTAGATTTTATTCCCTATTTAGCTTGCTGCCCCACTGCCCAGAATAATGGCTGCAGACTAAAGATACTTAATACTGAAGAAATTAAATTTGAGGGTTTTTTTAGGGCCTCTCGAGAAATCCAATTTTAACTATAGCCCAGAAATGAGTCTCCAGTGGTTCAACATGATGTTTGTGGGAAGATAATTTACAGACGTAACCAAAAGGCATGTATGTGGACTCTGTAAATGATGTTCGAGCTGCCTGTTTGTATGCTAACTTGTGCAAGGCCTTGCATTTGCTCTCACGTTGCTCTTTTGAAGATATAATTGCTTCTTGGTTCCATATTTCTATTGCTCATTACACTGTTCCATATCATTTCATTCTGAAAATAAAACAAAATAGGATATTTAAAATTAATGATGTGAAGCACATCTCTCTCTCTCTCTACCTCTAGGCAGAATTAGCAAATGGCTTGAACACAAGCCATTCTTTTTATTGGAAGCGTCTGGGCTTCATTATGGTGAGAAAAGTCACTGATTAGAAGGAGAGAGGCTTCAGACCACCTTTGGAAAGGGTCATTAAGGTGTTTGTGCACCCTTACTACCTCCTCCCCGACCCTGACAAACTCACAATGGCTGCTTCTTTTTTTAATGAAAGCTGAAATGTCAATTTCTCCAAAACCAGGTCAGCAAGAAAGTGAAGTTTTTAAAAGCATTGACAGAGTAAAACCCACAAACCTAGAGAAATTCTCAGCAGAATTTTTCTTCAAAATTAAAAAAAAATCATCAGGAAAGCAAAACTGAGGAAGGTTGCTATGGGTAGATCTACCTTCAAGAAATTCTCAAAAAGCCAGGAGATGGTGGTGTATGCCTTTATTCACAGTACTTGGGGGGCAGAGGCAGGCAGATCTCTGTGAGCTGGAGGCCAGCCTGGTCTACAGAGTGAGTTCCAGGACAGTAGGGTGGCATAGTGGGACCCTGTTTCAAAATAAATAACTAAATAAACACTCAAAACAATTCTTCAAGATAAAATGAAATGTTTTCCTCCACCCTCCCCCTCTCTCCCCCTCCCTCTTGTACTCTGTTCTTCCTTTCCTCTTCTTCCCTCTCTCCCTTCCTCCTCCTCCTTCAGTAAGATCTTAACATATTTCTGAGGCTGCCCTAGAACCCATTATGTAAGCTAGGCTGACCTCAAACTTGTTGTCATCGTTCTGTCTCGGCCTCCTGAGTGCTGAGATTAGAAGTGTAAACCACTGTAGACTAAGACTTTTCTTTTTCTTAACCTTAATGAATCCAGTGGCTAACTCTGAAAACAACACTAAAAGTACATTTGGTTTGTATACTTGTGTTTGGGTATAAACAAAAATGATTGACATTAGTGACATAAGGCCGGGGGAGAACTATTATTTCTTGGTTGTAATCTGGTTGTAGTACCCATAAGGTACTATTTGAAAGTACTATTTGAAAGTAGAATTCTATTAATTGAGCATGTACACTGCAAGCTCTAAGTATAACTAAGATCACTAAGTATAACTGATATACAAAAAAGAACAAAGAAACAATATCAAATGATCAGTCAAGCCCAGAAAAGATGGAAGACAAGTGAACAAAGAACAAGAGAAAAGAGTAAGAGATACTAACAACACAAAACTTACTACAACAATAACAACAGCCATTGTGAGCGCCAACAGCCTAAATGCACCAATCAAAAGACAGCTAAGAGACTGTAATGGAGGATCAAGCAGAGAAAACAAACTATATGCTCTCTATAACA